TATACAAATAATTACAGTATATATATAATAATAATACAGTATATATATATAAATAAATATATATATATATATACAAATAAGTATATAAAATAAATATGTAATAAATATATACATATATATAACTGAATATACAAATAAATATATATATAAATATACAATAAATATAAAAATATATAAATAAATACATTATATATAAAATAATATATATATAAATAAATATATAAAAAATATATAAATAAATATATAATTAAATACAGTATATATATATATATATACATATATATATATATATGTATGTATGTATGTATGTATGTATGTATCTGTATATCTGTATTTTAACAACATCTATCAGTGCTGCATACTTTCGGATCGACGATTCGAAAAAGTAAGTCCAAAAGTGTATGTACAGTACTGCGCATGATCGGTGTGTTATTCATTTGCATCTACTAGGCCAAAAAATATAGGCTAGTATAGGCCTACGTGTTTGCAAAACTGGAAAAAATGAAAAAAAAAAAGATTTAAAATGTATGGCTCGCTGGCTCGCATGACTCGCGCATTGGCTCGCATGACTCGCTGGCTCGCACTTTAGCACTACTCCTTCTCTCATGCCCAACTTGGCCAGTCCTACTGTATATTGCTGTACTTTCACTTCAAGAAGGTAGCACAAAGCAACTTTGGAAAATCTAGTAGGGGAGAGGGACGTCACTTAATAAGGCTCCCGTTCCGTTTTGCCACAATTTTTTTTTAAATTTCAATGCAATATATGTGCTATTTGCTTATTCAATTATTAGGCCTATTTAGTATTCTGAAACTGTTGTGCGCCTGTCTCTTATACACATCTAGATGTGTATAAGAGACAGGTTTGAAACATTCTGGATCCACCCTTGATCACACAATAATTCCTCACAAGGACTACAGTGTGCAGCAAAGACACTCAAAACTACAAAGACGTCCTTCAGAAAAATAAGGACATATGATAACCATAACATCCACAACGATTGCCTCCTAACTGATCCCCATCCAACAATGTACATGATCGCCTCCTGTCCCACTCATTCAACACCGTGCGGAGCACGGGTATATGATATTCATAAATATATATAATGAGTTAAGAAGGCCGAATCAAAATACAAATTTATAGTAACCATGGTTGTTGATCTTGCTCAAAAGGCCACGATTCTAAAAACTCTGGGCCTTCATTGTCCATTTCAATGTTTTAAATGTTAATCAGTTTTCACCTACCAATCGATATATACGTACAATGATGTGTCATTTAAAACATTCTTCTCATTTAAAATGGGTATAACGTCATTGTAGCACAAAATGTTATTGTAAAGATAGAAAGGGGGTGGGGGGTTGGAGTTTTTACCATAGAATCCGTCCTTGCGAAGGTCAGCGCAGTTATAGTTTGTCTTCCTTGCGTAAAATATTTTAAGTCAAGGGCGAAAATTGTTTAGGCATTTTTATGTTTAATATATAACTATAGTTTGAAACAATGTCTTTTTGTGCTAACGCATGAAAAGCCAATAAGAGCAGTGTTTATACAAATAAATAATTTTGTGTTTTATTATTTAGCTTTTTATTACTTGGGAGTTTTTAAGGCCTTTAAGTCGTTTTTAAGTAAAAGATAATAAAGTTACAGTTAAAAGCAAGCAGTCCACATTTTTATTCAGGTTTATTAGCCCAACAAATAGGGCACGGCATTTTTTTAATGAATTCGTTTAGAGTACATTATCAGCCGTTGAATTTTTTGCTTGAGTAAGTTTTAAAGGGTGATTTTTAGGTTTAGCCCCACACTGTATCTCTTTTGTTTGTGCATGATTAATTTTATCATTAATTTTTAAATGTGACTTTATCTTAATACCTAATTTTACTGTACTAATTTTTGCTTGATAAATAATCACAAATGATTGAAGAAATAACGACATTGATTTTTTTCTCTTTACTTACAGTGTCACATAATGGACCCAAAACAGGAGATTGAAGAGGCACTAAAAGATATTCAGTTTCATTATAACTGGGATATTGAAAAAACATCTAAATCTTTTCAGTCAATAAAACAGTCAATAGAAGAGCACTTACAGGATATAGAATCGTTTAAAATCGAGGTTCGTCTTTTAGAAAGCTATTTATATATGTCAAATTGTAAAGGACTTAGTGAGGTTGACATTTCTAAAGCAAGAAAGAAAAACAATACAGCATTTGCTTTGATAGAACGATTAGATGATGGACCAATCAAAGATGGTTACAAATCGATATGTTTGGCAATGCGCTGTTGGTTTTCAGTAGAAAAAGACCAGCCTGATATTTCAAGTTTTCAGGATCTTAAACATCTTCTTAAAAAATATCAGGACGAAGTTGATAAACGTAAATTTCAAGCAAGTATCTGTGTAACTAAAGCGCTTGCTCTTTCCAAGTTGTCATTTTCGAGATACAATGAAAGTGAAAGACTGTTGGTTAAAGCAACTGAGACATCTCCCACTAATGCGGAGTGGCTATTTATGCTTGGACTCATTAAGTTTCGAAGATGTAGAATCAAGTTGAAAAAGGATCAGTATTCTTCAAATCTAATCGAAGTTGAACGGATTATGAAAAACGTTTTGGAACTAAAATGGGACCACGCTTATGCTATGGTAATTTTAGCAGATATACAAAGAAGAAAATACGAAGAAAAAGTATACAAGGATAAAACCCAGAGCTCAAAGACCAACGTGTCCAATTTTGTATCCGAGAATGATTACGATGGTAAGGTCATTTCTTTGCTTACATGGGCAACAGACAACGCATCCAGACCAAAGATAATGAGCTTAGTAGCTCAATGTTATATCCGTATGGGTTGTTATATGTCTAAAGGAATTAAACGAAACTCTCAACAGACATCTCAATTAATATACTTTCAAAAAGCCCATGATGTAATCGATTTAGCTAAGAAGAAATTTACACATGTAACTGCTGAAGAGGTTGTTCCTTACAGGGAACAGGGAAACGTAGAAGAGTTAACATTTGCATGTGTCATTGCCCAGGAAGCAGTTCTTTACAGGGAACAGGGATACACAGAAAAAGAGTTAGAATGTCTTGATGAAGTGATCAGGAGGAAACCATCGAATGTCGGAGCTAGAATACAAAAAGCACAAGCATTACTAAACACCGGAAGACGCCCCGAAGCTTTTGAACTGTATGATAATCTCCTTGCTGGATTTAAAGATCATCCATTTGATCTATTTGACATCAACCGAAATTACGCCTCAAGTCTGGCAGTAATGTATAACTTTGACGAGGCTTATAAAAAAAACAAGGCATGTTTAAAAATAGCCCTTGATTCATTTGTAAAAGAAAATTCATCAGAACAAGCGGGAAAAGAGGTGAAATTTATAGAAGAGGAAGAGGAACAAGTTCAGAAAGTCATTGGACATATAAAAAAACATTTTAATTTGGTTAAAAGGCGGTCAAAGAAAATATCAGAAAAAATTAATTCAACGCTAGAACTTGCCAAGTTTCACGAAAAAATTGGACGTTATAAAGACGCCTTTTCAGACTATAATGAAGCATTACTTTATCTTCCGACAGGAGAAAATCACGACAAAAATCAAGAAATTGACATTCTTCTTAAAATAACTAATGTACATATAAAGTTAAATGATCTCAGTAACGCTGAAAAAATGTTGGAAGAAATTAAAGATGTGGAAGAAAAACATAAAGACAATATTAATAAACTTATAGATTTAGAAATAGATTTAGAAGTAGCTAAAGGTGAAGAGGATGCAAAATCAGGAGAACATACCAAAGCTATAGACCACTTTGCATGTGCAACAAAGATGGGTAGTGTAGAGGGTGCGAAGAGATTATTCAGAGAAATTCAAGAAGAACCAAATCATCAGGACTTCATCAAGAATTGTGCTTTAGTTAAAAAATGTATCATGCCAACCAGTGAAAATGGGTCAATGCTGGATGACCTTAATGAGCTTGTGCGTTCCTATGATGATGGATGTTTAAAATTAATGCATTCAGAGTTACAAAAAATACGGGAATGTCAACTTGAAATGGAATATGGCTATTTATTGGCTCCTGAAAACACTGAAAATATTGCTACTGTGATTCACAAATGTCGTAGCATTTTAAACTATGTAATGATAATGTTTAGAAACTGCAATTACCCAAAAGCGAAAAACAAAGATAAATGGAAAGACGACTGTGACTTTTTTATAGTGCATAAAAAGCCCAAAGAAAAAGAAATACAAAGAAATATAATTAAGCAAAGAATTGTCAAGAGAGTAAAAGATTATGGATGGACAAACTTTGATACTGACTTTTCAGACTTACTGGATTATCTTGTGTCGGTAAGTATCTTCATATTTTTAGTAAGCTGAATGGAAACAGTCACTATTTTGAGACTAGTGGGTACTACTGTACGTACATATAATAATTATTGACAGACTTTTGTTTGTAATGTCAATGAAGCATTGACACCAGTACTCGTCCTAAATGGTACGTGTCTCTATTGCGTACGCCGATAGAATATTACAGTGTCGTAAGTTTCTCTAATATAAACATGATTTTAACTATAACAAAAATTATCAAAAGATTACTTTATAACGAGCTACAGGTAAATCAGAATGAAGGAGTTACTGTAAATTAACTCTGTGCGGTGGCTTGTTGAAGGAAGACTTTCTTAATTTTATTTATTTATTTATTTATTTTCCAAACCAACAGCAAACACAAAGTTTGCCTCTTACAAGAGGGAACAGGAGGGTACATACGTATAATATATGTACACGCTGTACACGCGTATATATGTACGCGTATATTATGTACATATAAGTTTGTAAATATATACGTCTGTATATGTAAACAAATGAAATACCAAGTTGACGTATAACGAAACATATAACTTTTAAATGATCACGAATATTTCCTTCGCACCTGCGACCTTTCTCAACGTGTAGTGACGGTAGACACTGGCATCATGATATATAAATATTATAGAAACAATAGAAAGCGGTGACATAGTATAAAATCTGTGAGCCTATACAATAACAATGCATAAATAAATGAACAAAGGCAAGCGGCGATTATGAGATGAAACAATAGAATATACGAAACCCGCATCATACTAGGTACTGTAGAACCTATGCAAACTGTCAGCGGCTCATCAATAATACTAAAAATTTAAGACAGTTCTTAATGTTGTCATTCTTTTACAACATGTAAATTTCCAGAAAACTGGAAAAGTACGAAGGTAACGCCGCTATTCAAAAGTGGAGAAATGTCTAATCCAGGAAATTATAAACCAATTTCAGTATTACCCATTATCTCCAAAATTATGGAAAGAGCGGTTTTCGATCAACTATACTCATATCTAGTTTCTCATAATCTAATGTTTGAAAATCAGTCGGGTTTCCGGCCATATTTTTCCACATCTACGGCCCTATTAAACATAACAGAAAAATGGTATAGTGCTGTGGATGATGGAAACATTTTCGGTTTATCGCTACTTGATTTCAAAAAGGCGTTTGATAGTGTTGATCACAAAATATTACTATAAACTTAAACTTTATGGCCTTAGTGAGTATTCAATAAAATGGTTTGAAAGCACCTATATGAAAGGACTCAATTGACCATCGCAAATAATACTAAATCAGATACTACTCAAATTATATGTGGAGTGCCACAAGGATCAATTATTGGACCATTAGCTTTTTTAATTTATATAAATGACCTACCAAATGCCTTACAAAAATGTGAGATAAGCATGTATGCTGATGATGCTATTATTTATTATGATTCTAATAACGAATATGACATTATTGAAACTTTAAATACGGACCTAAAAAATGTATATGAATGGCTCAAAAGCAACAAATTGAGTTCAAATGTTTCAAAGTCACAATTTATAATCGGTTCAAGCCAAAGACTAAATAGTCACAGCAATGGGATGTCAACCATTCAGATAGTAACAGTCCTGTAACTCCCGGGCCCGGGGTACATGTTATATTTTCATTGCGGATTTTTTTGGGCTAAGTACGGACTCAAAAAGTATGCATTTCTTTTAGTTTTAGTTTAGTTTTATAGCCGCAATGACGATATAACGTAAACACTTAGGAATAACCATTGACGAACACCTATCATGGAGTAAACACATTGAAAACACAAGAGTAGAGGCTGTAAATTGTTTATCAATGTTAAAAAGATGTAAATATGTAATGCCAAATGATATCCTAAAAACTTGCTAATTCCATTGTATCGCCTTACTTAATCTATTGAAATGTTATATGGGGAAATTGCGGTTCTTCGATTTTGAAAAGAATACAAACTGTTCAAAATAGGACTGCGAGATTGGTGTGTAACCTAACTTGGGACACACCAAGCAATATAGCCCTTAAAGAAGCAAATTGGCTCTCTTTATCTCAACGTGATGAATATGAATGTTTAATAATGATTTACAAGATTCTGTGGAAACAGGCGCCCACTTATTTACAAAATAATATATTCAAAACAAATACTTTTAATTACAATTTCCGGCATAGTGTAACAAATTTATTTATTCCTAAACCAAACACAAGTTTTAAAAAACGTAGCATTTCATATCGAGGTGCAACATATTGGAATGCTTACAATTTTGACAAAAATGAAATTTTAAAGAATTCCATATCGCACTTTCCAAAATAACATTATACAAATGATTAAAAAATATATATATAATATAAACTGAGAATTTAATAGTAATAATGATAATTATAATAATAACAATAATAACAATAAAAAATTGAATATAATAATAATTACAATTACAATAATAATATAATTATAATTTAATAACAATAAATAATTTATTAGTAAATAGTAAATGATTTTGAACCTAATGTAGTGTATTTTACTGTTTTGTAATTTGAATTTTTTAATGCTTTGATATTTTAAATGTTTTATATGTAATTTTTCTCGATCTTGTGGAAGAACGATTATTTTAATCGAACAAGTTTATTTGTACTTTTTGTGCTTTTATTTTCGAGATGAAATAAAGTTATATATAACTCTGTATTAGTCTGTAATAATCTGTCTCTTATACACATCTAGATGTGTATAAGAGACAGCCTGTATGCATTGTGTGAATAAATCTGAATCTGAAATAATTTTGTTGCATGTTGATTTATATACCAACACATTTACTTTGTATACTATGTAATTTCTATAATATATGACAGAAACACTAGTAGAGTGTAGGATATTGACTTAAATAAACATTATATTTATTGTTTTCCTTATTTGTTAATTTGTTTTATTCATTTTTAAATAAATTGCACGTTGTAATGATTTACAAAATAATATATTCAAAACAAATACTTTTAATTACAATTTCCGGCATAGTGTAACAAATTTATTTATTCCTAAACCAAACACAAGTTTTAAAAAACGTAGCATTTCATATCGAGGTGCAACATATTGGAATGCTTACAATTTTGACAAAAATGAAATTTTAAAGAATTCCATATCGCACTTTCCAAAATAACATTATACAAATGATTAAAAAATATATATATAATATAAACTGAGAATTTAATAGTAATAATGATAATTATAATAATAACAATAATAACAATAAAAAATTGAATATAATAATAATTACAATTACAATAATAATATAATTATAATTTAATAACAATAAATAATTTATTAGTAAATAGTAAATGATTTTTAACCTAATGTAGTGTATTTTACTGTTTTGTAATTTGAATTTGTTAATGCTTTGATATTTTAAATGTTTTATATGTAATTTTTCTCGATCTTGTGGAAGAACGATTATTTTAATCGAACAAGTTTATTTGTACTTTTTGTGCTTTTATTTTCGAGATGAAATAAAGTTTATATATATAATGAAGTTCTAATTAATAAATGTGTATCCGCTAAGTATGCCAAGATCTCGGTTTATCCCGTCTAGTATGATGCGGCTTTCGTACTGTATATTCTATTTTTTTATCTCATAATCGCCGCTTGCCTTTGTTCATTTATTTATGCATTGTTATTGTATAGGCTCACAGATTTTATACTATGTCACCACTTTCTATTGTTTGTCACTATACGTTGAGAAAGTTTGGAGGTGCGACCGAAATATTCGTGATCAATAAAAGTTAGGCCTATATGTTTGGCTATACTTCAACTTGGTATTTCATTTGTTTAATTATGCTGTTCAAATATATATGCTGTTCATATATATATATATATATTTTATATATATATTTTATATATATATATATATATATATATATATTCTACTATCCTTTTCTTTCTGGGATGGTCCTATAGCCTTTGTCTTGCAACTGTAATCCGACCTGCAAGGCAGCAAGTGCTATTTGACCATAGCTGGTGTATATATAATTATATCGTTTGTTTACAATAGTATATTTTTCACTTTTTGACAAGTGTTGTAGTTTTCATTGTTTTACATTTTTTATTCTTAGCCATTCCGACCCTCTTAATGTTATTGATTTAGTGTCAGTGGTAGTGGTGATAACAATAAGTCATAAAACAAATTTTATTACTCACCTGCTGCACTTTTCAGAATATTTCGGCTCCATTCTCCGGAACCCTGTCCACCTCCTTGGCTGTTCACATCTCTGGCTACGATACGAAGCCAGAGAGGTGAACAGGGCTCCTTGGAATGGAGCCAGAATATCCTGAATAGTGTAGTAGGTGAGTAATACAATTTGTTTACATAGCCTACTTAATATTACCACTACTACTGACACTAAATCAATAACATTAAGAGGGTCGGAATGGCTAAGAATGTAAAACAATGTCAATAATGACCCTGTAAAGGCTTAATCAACTATGTAACAACATGAATGTATTGTTGTAGTTTTCGTTTCACGCAGAATGAAATGGCGTTATATTTATGCATAACATTTAATTTACATCCAAAAATGCATAGGCTACGCCTACCCCGAATAAACTCCCCTTCCGACTTTTAACACCTTAGAATTATAAACATATAATTAAATATTCCTCAGGAAGTTTATGTGATTAAGCAATGATTCAATCAATCTACTAATTTTATTGACATTATCAATAAAAAGAATAGTCAAAAACAGAATACATAAATATAATGGGCAGTGGGAGGAATGACAGACATGAAGGTTTCAAGGGGAAATATTGTGGTGATGATAATATGGATGAAATACAATATTATGACTAGCTTTAATTGACATTTTTATAATGTAGCGCACGATTTTTTTTTTCCAAATTATGACTACAGAATTTACTATTTAAAAAAAAACATTTTTTATATTGATTGTGACTAGCGAAACCTTTGTTTTATTATGAATAGCGAATCCTTTTTTAATTATGACTAGCGAACCTTATGAATAGCGGTCCTTTGTTTACACTATGACTAGTGAATCTTTTTATTGATTATGACTAGCGAACCTTTTGTTCAATTATGACTAAGGAACCCTTTTTTGTCAATTATAACTAGCGAACTTATTTTTAATTATGATTAGCAACTCCCTTTTTTATTAAGACTAGCGAATTTTATGAATTACTGTTCTATATTTGTATTATACATATCGAACCCCTGTTTTGATTATGACTGGCGAACCTTATGAAGTGTGAACCTTTTATTAAATTATGACTAGTGACCCTTTTTTTTTTATTACGACATGGAACCTTATGGTCCTTATACGACATGGAACCTATATGGTCCTTATATTTTATAAATTGCGAACCCCCTTTTTTCATTAGGAATAGCGACCATCTGGTATAGGGTAAGCTAATGTTATGACTAGCGAATCTAATGAACCTTATGAGTAGCAAGCCTTATATTATAACTAGCGAGCTTAACTCATATTATTTTTTGTGACGTCACCACTTTAGGTATATTTTTAGTATATCTCGTAGGACCTGGCTCATAACACGGCAAAATTCAACCACTGGATAACAAACAACAAATTTATATTCCGTACACGAAAAAACTTTTGAATGTAAATAGAACAGAAGTTCTTGGTTATGTAAAATAAATGTTTTTCATTTATCTCTTTCACTGAAGGCTTATTGCTTAGAACACTGCTACACTACCCTCACAATTTCACATCCATTGTTTTGCTGAGATTTTGCCTAACGCACTGTTTCATAGTTGTTATCAAAAATCTCAAGTCAGTAAAATCTAATCTAAAAATTATAAAATCAATGTCTCCAATTAGGCCTATCTTGTTACTATTTATTAATTATAGTTTTAGCATATTTTCCGATGTGCATTACGTATGCTGTTTGAATGTACAGTATTTGCAATCATATATATTTTTGTATAAGTGGTGTTATATATTAATTATGATATATTTCTAAATTCATAGTTTAGGTTACTTAACGACGATCATTCTTTTTATAGATTCAGCCTCTAACCGACCCTAAGAACAACTGGATTAAAGAATTAATCGATCTGGATAACGTTGTGAAACACAAACAACCCCTACAAGAAGCTACCAAGTCTATGGATATTGCAAGGAATGCATGTTGTCATATAAGGCCCATTTTAGAAAAATTCTGCAAATTTTTTGATCCACAAGCGACATCACCACCACAAACCAAACCATCATCGCCGTTGTTGCCAGCTTAGTCGTTACTGCTGTTGTAGTTGTCGTTGTCGTCAGTATCATCATCGTCTTCGTCATCGTCATTACTGGGTTTTATTAAACCTTTCCATTGTTCTTGCCATCAGCAGTATCATAATGTACCGGTAGCCATCATCAAAATGGACATTTCCGGAGTGTCAATCAAACTTAACAACTGACCAATCATGACAGGGGAAGGAATACGTGCGTGAACTAGCAAGCACACATGCTGCCCCAAAAACGCAAGTGTCTGCGTATGCTTCTTACTGTCTTTTTGTGGGACCTTAATAACGATATCCAAGACGTAGTGCTTAGAGTAAAGGTCTATTACCGTTTTATTATCACCATCAAAATCATTATCATCATCGTCGTCATCACCATCATATCGCCACCAATGTTGTTGTCGTCATGATACGTACCGTCAAAACAAAATCACTTATTTTTACAAAACATAGATTATTTATAATAATAAACTACACAATTTCTTTCCGAGCTTATAAACTTTATTCTATAATTATATCCCATTATTGAAATTAATAATCAATGATTAATCTTACTACTGTATTCCAATTTATCAAATTTACTTAAGTATGCTTTTCGTTATTTTACATTATTTTCCTTGTTCCAGGCATTAAGAATTACAAAAATATTATTATAATATATGACCATTATTAATTCATTACTGGTATAATTTATACCTTGATGTAAGAGATAAAAAAAATGTTATAGTTACATCCCTGATGCAGATATGAAGGAACAAATAAGGCATGCACTGTCAGTTAATTATTTGTCAGACTCAGTAAACACTATTCAATCAGATTGATGAATCGTTAGACCTCTGATAGGCAGATGGATTTGTTTGATCAGACCTCTGAAGCTGAGTATATTATTGCCACTCATTGCACTCTGAAACCCACTCTTAATGTTCGTTGATATAGTTTAACTCTATAAGATCAGACTTAAGACTCGTTAAGATTATTGTTTAAGTAAGCTCTCAAAAGTGCCACTAAACAGAGTTTGTGCTATGTAATTGTTTTGGCACATTGCACGTTTATCAAAATGTCTAATTGTCCTGACAAAATACTAATAGACTTGTAGACTACTATTCTTGAGTTTTTCTATATTATCCAGAATATACAACTATCGGTCGTTGTATATGTGTGGATTACCCACAACAGATGTTATTTGACAAAATCACAATATTATGAGAACATTGCAAGTAATCTAAAAATGGACGATAATGCTGTTTTTGATCAATTTACTTCAATAGGTTGAATATCTTTTAGGCACAGATAATTTTAGAACTTGAAAAAATATAACTATTTTATAAATATAATTATTATAACGAACAATCGAATAAGCGTCGGCCGTTTTTATATCTTAATCAAGTATACAAGTCAGCCATGAGCATCTTCGGATTGAATGAGCATTAAAATAAGTGCTAATGAACTTTCACACCTAACTTTTACCGCTAAGGAAACAAGGGTAAGTCAAACATAATCGGTAATCTTATGATCCTTACGTACCACAATGTAAGAATCAACAGAAAAATGACAATGTGAAAATGTTGCCAATTTTCGCAAAAACGTAAAAGGTAATTTTTTTTTTTTTTTAAATAGGGCTATTCTCATTTTCGGTGGTTTTATGTTCTGTGACACCTACATGTACTTTAGAAATGTGATTTCTATTGTTTTTTTTATTATTATTATTCAAGGTCTCGCTCTACATTTGGCTATTATTACTAGAAAACAGATAGCCAGGATTTGACTCATCTGAACACAGAGGGGAAGCAGTGCGACCCCTAAGTCATGAATGCACTGAATCTTGCTCTCTTCCCGAGTGCCAGTCAGTTGAATGGTACCTCCTCCCCGATGTCTTGTACTCGCATAGTGCTGCCAATACAGTGCACAGTTTTATGTAATTAAACGTTATGGAAACTTATTTATTTGCGTTGGTATGTCATTTCAGTTATGCGTTATAAGATATCGTATTGTGTTGTTTGATTATGACATGGGTTCACATGAAATTCACATGTTACTAATTTAAAAAATAGTTATGGTCCAAATGCGTACACAGATTTAAAAATATTTAATAGCAAATCAAGCAAAAGAACTACCAGAGCCTAAAGCTTTAATTGTAAATTCATTACTGATTTTTAAAAATTATTTATGTTTTATAAATTTTTTTGAATTAATTCACTTCGTAAATTTAGAATGATATGATTTAATTTTGTAAATTAAGAATGATTTTACTGTCAGTTTTCTTTTATTGGGTGGGGGTTGTTCCCCTCGATGTAAATATTTCTTATATATTTTTTGTTTGATTATTTCATTAGGGCTACATCGTCCAAATTCATTAATTTTACTATTAAAAATAGATTCATACTCTCTTTTATCTTGTTTTACTGTGTTTGTTTAGGATCCCTAATGATCAGCTTCGGCTGGATGGACCACCCACATTGAAGATTTTTATTATTTTGCAAACACATTTTTAAAATGAATATTTGCATGCAATATTATTAGGTCTACATAAATCGTCATCTGGATTTCGTTAGGGTGCATAGGTTACATGTTTATTCATGAATGTATAATGAAGCTATATTATGGTAATTCCCTGCACTGATTACAAGTAGCAGTTAGGCCTACGTGTTAATTCTAGAATGGCTGATACTTGCTGTGAACAGTTACAGGTAGCAGTTGCATCGTGTTATTTCTAGACTAACAGTCGACCAAGCACATATTGCTCATTATAATAGACATATTAAAGGTGTTCAGTTAAGAACAAACGAGGAAGGAGGATATTTTAAATCTAAAAAGAGCAGGCTTTATTTACACACAAGACTCAAAGGTAGGTGTTGAAAGGGCCGAAGGCCGAAGCCGGAGGTGGGTATGAGTGGAGGATGTCCCCTCCTCCTAAAACAAGATTATTTTTTTTAATTGGGACTTCTAGATGGCCGGAAATGGCTGGGATGGGATAACTAGGCCTATTTTTTTTTTTTTTTTGGTCCGACTGCCCGACGAGCTTTGGCGGATGGGGGGGGGGGGGGGGGGGCTTGAGTCCCTCCCCCCCCCCGCTGGCGCCGCCACTGCATGTACTCTACCAATGTCAATGCCAAGATCAAGAAATGTTGATAGATTATTATAGCCGTAAAAGAAAACAAAATTAAGGCTCAAATTAAAGATAAGGGTAACATTCACAAATAGATATAAAGAGTTACGTAGACCTAATCAGTTAAAATATAAATTTATAATGCTAACTATATTGCTGATCCTCCTCAAAAGGCCACGTTCCTGAAAAATCTGGGCCTTTTATTGTCAGTGGCGGATTTACAAGTGTGGAGGGGGCGTGAAGGGCGTACCGTGTAAATAATGTTTCTTAATCTAAACACATCAATCCATTGATAAATATTGTAACACTTGGAATTATAATTGCACACACATTCACACATTAATTAAACGGCCTACAGTGTCCAAGCCTTTTTCTATACCGAACTACAACATTATAGCAAAGAGGCTGCATTTTGTGTCACTGTCTATTTCAGCCTGTCGTTGCTCCAAATGTTAATGTTTCTATCAGTTTTCACCGAGCAATCGATATATTCGCACACTGATGTGTTGTCATTTAAAGCATTCCTTTCATTTAAAATGAGTATACTTCATGCACCAAATGCAAGCTTATCACAGAATTACCATGCCAGGTAATAATCGATCAAATACAAACTCAAATTTCATAAAGAGTGCTAGAGCTTCGAATGGGTTTCGCTCCTTATAATCCCACAAAGGCTCTGCCCCTGGTGGGGCGTGCGCAGGTCTATATCTGAGCATTCCGCTCAGTGGCGGCCCTATGGGGAGCTAGGAGGCTCGCCGAGGAGAAAAACCGCAATTCGTCGGGGAGAAAAAAATTTAACAAAATTATATGTATTTTGTACAGAGGCCTATTATTTTTTCGGGGTGGGGGGGGGGGGGGGGGGGGGGCTACTTTCGAAATGGTTTTAGCAGTGTGCTACTTTCGAAAGGTTTTTAGCAACCACGCCGGCCACGTTTTTCTAGTCGGGGATATCATGGCGCCGGCACTGATCCGCTCGCAGCTCACGCCCACTGCATTCTGAGCATGCTAAATCCGCCCCTGTCTTATAATGGTAAATGATGTTCAAAGTCCACAAAAAGTGCTAGTGAAGTGATCAAAACACAATTATTTAACCATTTAATAATCATTTATTTTTAGTCAAACCAATACGTTTTGAGGTAAAAAGGACTTGGCCTACCTTAAATTCTTTAACAATTCCAAGTCACGTTCTGGTCAATGCTACATTATTACTACCATGCATAAAACCCTGATCTTATTGGCTTTTCCTACGTTAGCAGAAAAAAAGCCATTGTTATAAACTAGCTCTTTAAGAATTTGAAAAGTAATAGGGGATACCATGAACCATGAACCGGGATCATAATATGGAGGGAGAGTTGGAGGGAGGGAGTTCTTACCGTAACGCTAAAGTACCCGTCCCTGCGAAGGTCAGTGCAATTGCGTAAAAATGCTTTAAGCCGAGGGCGAAAATTGTTTATGCATTTCACAGTATTTTTGTGTTTAAGATATAAATAGCTAGTTTGAAACAATTGTTGGAAAAGCCAATGATAGCAGTGGTTTCATACTTTAGCAAATTAAATTATTTTGTATTTTATTACTTACCTTCTTGTTAATTAAGTGTTTTAAGGCCTTCAAGTCTGTTAATTAATTTGCATGGAAGTTAATGGCGTTTTCAAGTGAAAGATAATAAAGTTACAGTTAAAAGCAAGCAGTCCACATTTTAATTGTTCAGGTTTATTAGCTCAACAATAGGAAACCATGTTTGCTTAATGCATTCGGCCACAGTTATCAGCCGTTGATTTGTTTGCTTGAGTACCGTTTTAAAGAGTGATTTTCAGGTTTACTGGATATATCACTTTTGTATATGCATTATTATCTTACCTATTTTACTGTAATAATTTTTTTTTGTATACTTTTTGCTGGAGAAATAATCACAATGATTGACAAAATAACCACAGTGATCTCTCTATTTTAGTATCACGCAATGGACCAAAAACAGAAAATTAAAGACGCATTAACACGTGTTGAGTTTCATGCTAATTGGGATATTGAAAAAACATCTAAATCTTTTCAGTCAATAAAACATTCGATAGAAGAGCACTTACAAGATAAAGAATCGTTTGCAATTGAGGTTCTATTTTTAGAAAGCTATTTACACGTGTCAGAATGCAAAGGAATTAGTGAGAATGAGAAAGACATTTCAAAAGCAATGGAGAAAAACAATAATGCATTTGATTTGATAAAACAACTAAGTGATGGACCGATCAAAGATGGTTACAAATCAATATACCTAGCAATGGACTGTTGGATTTCAATAGAAGACCAGCCTGACATTTCACGTTTAAAGAAGCTTGAACAACTTCTTACAAAATATCAGGACGAAGATCGTAAAGAGAAATTTCAAGCAAGTATCTGTGTAACTAAAGCGCTTGCTTATTCTAAGTTGTCATATTCGAGATACAGTGAAAGTGAAAGTCAGTTGATTATAGCAACTAAGGCATGTCCAACCAATGCCGAGTGGTTGTTCATGCTTGGGCTCATTAAGTGTCGAAGATATAAACTCAAGTTGAGAAAGAATCAGTATTCTTCTAAACTAATCGAAGTTGAACGGATTATGAAAAAAGTTTTGAAACTGAAATCGGACCACGCTTATGCTAGGGTAATTTTAGCAGATATAAAAAGAAGAAAATATGAACATGATGTAGGAGAGTACAACAAGGATAAAACTCAGTGCTCAAAAACCAACGCATCCGGGAATAATATTGACTCCGAGAATGATTATAATGATATGATTAATACTCTACTTAAACGAGCATTACAAACGCATCTAGGCCAAAGATATTGAGTGAAGTAGCTCAATGTTATATTCATATGGGTCGTCATTTTACGTCTCAAAGAAACTTTCAACATGAAACCTCTCAGAGATACTTTCAAGAAGCCCGTGATGTTATCGATTCAGCTAAGAAGAAATTTGAAATTGCAGCATGTGTTATTGCCCAGGAGGCAGTTCTTTACAGGGAACAGGGAAACACAGAAGAAGAGTTAAAGTGCCTTGATTATGTGATCGATAAGAAACCATCGAATGTCGGAGCTAGAATACAAAAAGCACAGGCATTGTTAGGCACACAAAGACAACGCGAAGGTTTTGCAATGTATAAAAATCTCCTTCATAATTTCAAAGATCCATTTGATCAATTTGACATCAACCGAAATTACGCCTCAAGTATGGCAGTAAAGAAACAATTTGAGGAGGCTTATGACAAAAACTATGCATGTTTAGAAATAGCCCTTAGTTCATTTGTAATAGAAAATTCATCAGAACAAGCGGAAAAAGAGGTGAAATTTATAGAAGAGGAAGAAGAACAAGTTCAGAAGGTCATTGGACATATAGAAAAATATTTTCATTTGATGAAAAAGCGGTCAAAAAAAATATCAAAAAGGATTAATCCAACACTAGAACTTGCCAAGATTCATGAAAAAATTGGACGTTATAAAGACACCTGTTCAGAATATAATGAAGCATTGTATTGTCTTCTGGCAGGCGAAAATCATGACAGAAATCAAGAAATTGACATTCGTCTTAAACTAACTAATGTATATATAAAGTTAGGTGATCTCAGTAATGCTGAAAAAATGTTGGAAGAAATTAAAGATGCAGAAGAAAAACATGAAGACAATATTAATAAACTTCAAATAGATTTAGCAGTAGCTAAAGGTGAGAAGGCTGCGAAATCAGGAGAACATACCAAAGCTATAGACCACTTTGCATGTGCTGCAAAGATGGGTAGTGTAGAGGGTGCGATGAGATTATTCAGAGAAATTAAAGAAGAAACAAATCATCAGGACTTCATCAAGTATTGTGCTTTGGTTAAAAAATTTATCATGGCAACCAGTGAAAATGGGTCAATGCTGAATGACCTTAATGAGCTTCTTGTGCGTTCCTACGATGATGGATGTTTAATGCATGTAGATTTACAAAAAATACGGGAATGTCAACTTGAAATGGAATATGGCTATTTATTGAAAATTGAAAACACAGGAAATATTGATAATGTGATTCACAAATGCCGTAGCAGTTTAAACCATGCAATGACGAGGTTTAAAAACGACAATTACCCAAGAGCAAAAAGCAAGAATATACCGAAAGACAACACAGACTTTTTTATTGTGAACAAAGACGCAGAGAATGAAATTGTCAAGAAAATAACAGTTAAGTATGGATGGACAGACTTCCCTACTAAGTTTAAAGAGTTCCTGGATTTTCTTGTGTCAGTAAGTATATATCTTCATATTTTAGTAAGCCGAATAGAAAAAGTCAGCATGTGTGTGTACTTTTGTCCACATACAGTAGTATGATTGTGTGAATTATGGATCTCTAAAACTATGTGTGGACGAAGCATTAACGCTAATGTACTCATCCTATAGTGGTGTGTGTTTCTATTCACGCTCATTAATCAACAGACTATTACTTATACTCCGAGTAAATATTACAGTTTCATTAAGTGCGTCTAAAGTAATATGCCTATTACAGCCAAATGATTTACATGGTTGTATGTATTTATGTGTAAAACAAAATATAATAGCCACTCTAAAATTTAATTAAATGATTGCAATACCTTCGTGAATATATCATTATATTTACCTGGATTATTTTGGAGTTAAGCACGTGTTATTAAGCATAGACTATCAAGTATTCCTATCTGATGACATATAGAATCACTTTATTATTGTGAATACGATTAGCTTTGTTCACAGACTACTTCAGTAATCTACACGACGAAGGTAAAATGAATAAAACAGACTTTTTGAATGGATTGGATTGGATTTATTCGGTATAAACACCAAGGATATCCCACGAAAGTCTAGAAGACTTATTTCCAGTGGGGTCCTTCTGGTGATGACTGGGCAGTACACCAGGAGACAATCCCCTACTCTTTTCCGAAGAGTGCACTGCGTTCTTTAACGTGCACATGGGCCATAAATGCACACGGGACCAACGGCTTAAACGTCTCATCCCAAATACATTCATAGCATTCGTTGAAGGCTTATTGCTTATAAGACTAACATTGCTACATTACCTTCACAGTTGTTTTGCTAAGGTATTTGAATAACGTACTATTTCATAATTGTTATACAAACCCAAATTAGTCAAGTCTAATCTAAGAAAAATCATCTAAAATCCAGCATGTTGATTCATTTAAAATGCTTTTATTGAATTAGTTTATTTTAAAAATAGCTACAATCATCTTGTTATTATCCATTAGTTTTTGTGTATTTTTATTTAACCTATGTTGTTTGTAGATCTCTGTATATGAGATGCTACGTTTTAATTGTGCTGTATTTCTGAAAGCATAGTTTAGATTATTTAACGTTGATCATTCTTTTATAGATTCAGCCTGTAACCAACCCTAAGTACAACTGGATTGAAAAACTAATCGAACTGGATAACGTTGAGAAACACAGTCATTCCCCACGAGATGCTGACAAGTCTTTTTTTGTTGCAAGGAGTGCATGTACTGATATAAGACCAATTTTAGAAGAATTCTGCAAATATTTTAAACAACAACCAACATCACCATCACATTAATTGTAACCATCATCGTTGATATTCCCGGCTTAGTTGTAGTCCTCATTATTATCATCGTATCCGTTGTCATGTCTATGCTTATCAACTTATCATCAGCATCATCATTTTTTTTTTTTTTTTTGGTTAAGAATTAATTATCTTATTATTTAAAAGCGTTACATATCAGAAGCTTTGCTTCCAAAGCAATTCCTTACTTCTCATTTTCATATTTCATTTATTGTTTTAGACATACTTTAAATTTTCTATTGTAATCATACATGTGAATATGAATGTGACTTTGTGAAATAAATCGAAATTGAAACTAAACAATTAAACATTTAATATATTAAAACGGCTGTTTTTAATATTAAGTTCACCATTTGGTACCTTGCGTTATTTTGACTGCCCCTTTTATAAGGAAATGTTACTGAATAATTAAAACTGCTAAGAAATATTTCAGTAAAGACCTACAGCATATTTTTAGGCAACTTAATAACATTCTTAATGATATATCTGATCCAGAGCATGAAAAAATATTCATTTTTATAATGCTTGTAAAAGATAATGTAATTATACTGTACCTTGTGCAATCCGAACATATATTTCATTTTATTGTATATAATACTTATGTCATATTCGGCAACTCGTGTATATAAACATAGACATTGTTTTTAATATTGTATTACAGAAACCTTGTAGGCTTAGTTGTGTATTATTTAACGAAGATGCATCTCGTTATTATTATTATTATTTAATTACAGGCCATAATATAATAATCTGTCACACTGACAATGGTCAGTTTACATTCCATTTATCAGTGATACGGAAGTCTCTGCAATAAAGAAACCTTGAAATAATGTATTTTTCTGCGTGATTTGTCAAACCTAAGAGCTTGCCTGAGCCCCTTATGTGGGTAGAAATATCTTCTCTGTAAAAATAATGTTTTCTTGCGTAATACCGGCAAGACATAGTTTATTAAAAAAGGTTTTCCATCAGGACTCCTTTATATCGCGGGCCAATGTGAGGTGAGGTGATGGCGTGAGGATCGATCAGACTAATGAAAATAACTAAACAAAAAAAATCATCAAAGGAAATGTTTTAAAATATATTTTCTATTAATTAGATCTCTATGGTTGCCGAACATCGCTGATAGAAGATCAGGAGACATTGTTGGCGCTTCATTTTGACTATAAGGGTGATGGGACTGGGAAGTTTTATCATAAAAAATAATAACATTTGCATTAGATGGCACCTTGCAAAAACCAAAATGTTATTTTGAAAAACGACTATCAAACTTTATTTGACAAAAACACGTGACATGCCTCAATATGGCCATGATGACATCACATCATGACCATATATAGGCACATCATGACTATATATGGGCATACAAC